GAACATTCGGCGCTAACCGTCGCCTTTCCCGGACCCAGGGCGCCCCCGGACCCGGGCCGCCCCCTTTAAGCTAACAGGGAAAACAAAACTGAGACCCGGGCTCCTGGTGCACTTGAGGGCGCAGTGGTTCGACATGCCACACAAGCGCCCCGTCTTGTTGATCACGACGGAACAGACGTGCTTATGCCCGCGAGGGCACGGCTCGGAGCACTCCCCGGCGTTGAACTTGCGACACACCTGGGTTCCGTCTTTCAACCGATCGCCCAACTGCGCGCCATTGCCACCTGTCCGCTGGCTCCGCCCGACGCTCGTCGGCGGCCGCTGCGGCCCGGGAGCTGGCGGTGAGGGCGGGCTCCACATGACCTCGCGAGTCTGCAAGCCCTCGCGGATTATCTTCCCGACGCTCAGCTCGCTGGTGCGGACCCTGTCCGTTCACCAAGCGCGCTCCTCCTCGTCCCGACGCACGACGTTAGGCAGCGCAATCGAGAACGGCATCGCACTGGCGTACTTGACCAAACGGAAATGGTAGGCCATCGCGACATCCAACGGAATCTGCACGAAATCCGTCGTATCCGAAGACGCCTTCTCTGGCGTCCCGGGCGCCAGGTCAATCGGCTTCACCCCAGCGCGCGCGCATGCCACCATGAGAACCTGGTGCAACGCGATATAGGTTTTCAAGTCCTTCGCGGGATCCGGATCTTCCTTCTCATCGCACACGAATTCGACATCCCCAATGCGCTGCCGCTTCCTGGCAGCCCTCGCGGCATTCAGCAACGCGCGGACCTTCCATACACTCATCATCGTCACCTGGCGCCTGCCCAGCTCCCTGCTGATCTTACTGACCAGCGCTTCGGACGGCTCACACTCCGCTGGGTACGCCATCTTATACCGAGCGAAGAACTGCTCGCTCAATTCAGCGAGCTGCGGCGACGGCAATGGGACATCGTCGCTCTCGTCCAAGCCGCGCCTCTTCCGGGTCTCGGACTCCCGGGCGGCATCGCACGCGGCTTTCCACGCCTGCCGCACTACGCGCTCGAACTGCGGCGCGGGCCAGGCAGGGCCACCCCCCGCGCAGGCGAAGGCCGCGCCTGGCGCACGCGGGACAGCTGTCCCAGCCTCCTCTCGAGATCCGGCACGCGCTCGAGGATCGGCGCCCACTCGTTCTCGCTCGTGACGGCATGCGCGAAATCGACCAACGTCTCTAGACCCACGGTTTCGACCAGGTGGGTGGCGATGCGCTCATCAAACTGCTACTTCGCGGCCAGCTCTCTGAATTGTGCAGCGGCGTCGCGAGCGCCGACGCGCCCCGGCAGCGCAATGCCGTCAACTGACAAAGACATACCGAGAACCACACGTGTCGCTCCGCTAAACCTACTCTCTGGACCGCGTTCGAGCCCACCTCGGGGCGCGCATACGCATCCGTTATGTTGGCATTCGCTGGCAGGCCCACGCGCAACTCCGCGCGTCTCCGCCGCGATGACGTCACCACCTCACGCCGGGGCTGCCCGGCCGCGCAACTTTTCACACGCCGCGCACACCAGGGCTCCCTCCGGGAGCGCCGGGAACCACTGCAGATCACTCAATCCATTCTGACATAGGTTCGTCACTGGCCCGAACTCACTGTCCGCCCAGGCTCTGGACTTTTTGAGGCGACGAATTACGGGCATCGCGACGTGATATCGAGGCCCCATAACCTCCCTTACCCGGGTAGCCCTCCCAGGCTCAGACTGCACGTACCCGATCGCGCCCCGCGGCTCGGGCGACGGGCCCACGGCTCGCGACGCGCGCGCGGATGATCCCTCCGCAACCTGCCTGACTGGCGGCGCGCAGTGCGCTGGCGCGCAATCTGAGCCCTTTACGTCACATTCACCCAACTCCGCGCCCTGCGCTGCCTCGTCACCTGGAAGCACGGTCACCGCGCGACCGGCGCAGTCAACTCCCCGCGCTTGGAACGCGGCCGGGCCTGCACGGGTTGCGTCTCCCGGCCGCACCGACACGTCATCTCCCCTGGACCTGGGGATGGAGACAGCCTCCAATGCCGCCCACGCCCGGGCACAATACCGCTGGGCCGCGCGATCGACCCGCGGTTCGCCCTGCGCGGCCCGCAATGGCAACTGACGCCGGACTGGCGCGCGCTCCCGCCTCTGCTGGTCGCTTGTTTTTGCCGGCAACTTTCGGCGCTCTGCGTGGACTCGCAGGCGCAGGCAACGCGTTCCCACGCAAACCGCCCGGCGCTTTACCGCGCCCCCCCCGCTTTGCACGCGGGGCCCCCGACGCGAGGGTGTGCGCAGCGCGCGCACGCGCGCCCGGCGCTTCGGCGCCCGCCCCCCCCTCACCGCTCTTACCCGCGGCGCCCCCGTCGGCAGGACCCCGACAATTGGGTGGAGGCGCGCCCGGCGCTTTACCGCGCCCCACCCGCTGTCCACGCGGGGCCACGATTATCCGGAGAAACTTCTGCCGCCTCAACTCCTCGACGACCGACGGGGGCAAGAACGCGGCCTTCTCACGAACGGTCGACACCGCCACCTCTGCTGCGCCTCTTTCTCTAGGTCGGCCAAAATTACTTTTCCTGGCGCAGAACTCGCCCAGCATCGCACTTGCTCCCACTGCACTGGGGCCTCCAGATCGGTCCGCAGGCACGACAACACTCCGGCCATGCGCAGGCGCGTGCACATCTCGGCTTGCCGCCGACGCGCATTATACACGATCGGCATCTGGTTCCGACGGGAGTTGTCTCCCCCCTCCGTCCAACCGCCCGAGATGACTCGGGCTTCCCAGTCCAATTGTATCGCGCTCGCCCATGTAGGCCCAGCCCGGCGCAAACTGTAAGGCACAAGATCCAACTGGGAATCGTCCGCTAGCGAGCCTCGGAATACTTCCTTCAGCGATCGGTTAAAGGCACCCAACTTCACCGGCGCGCCGGAAACTGGATCGAAGACGAGCCCCGTCGGCACAGCCCTTCCTGCTCGATCTTCCCGCGCCGCAAACTTGTGCCAACCATCCCACAAGGCGTCAGCGGCGGACCGCGCGCCACCTAGCCGCCTCGGCAAGCACCAATCGAACGAAGGTCGCCCCTGTCGCTTTCCCTGCCCCCCCCTCGATGCGCGGAACCAGCAAAAATAAACCGACTTCTCTAAAGGCCTAGAGCGCAGCAGGTGCGTGTACCTCACCCACGCGAATACCACCGCCAGCATCCCAGCCGCGAGCATGACTTGCCCAGGCGTTCTCGCGCCATCCAGGAAATCGATCACATGGTAAATCATCTCGGGTTCGACGACAGTGGCCTGGGCCGGCGGTGCTACGGTTCCACTGCCTGGATCACGTGGCACAGGGCGAAACGCATCGTCCAGGCAGAAAGGCGCTTTCAAATGTACGCACATCCACTTCAAGGCGTTCCAGATCCTGACGCCGGACGTCCGTGCGATCGAGAGCTTATGCACGAACTCGGCGACTGCCATGGGTTGCCGCGCCAGACTCGTCGCCGGCTGCCCTTGCCGGCCCGCCCACTCGGCCCACTGCCCCCACACGCGCAAGGCCGTGCGCAGCGTCCCGGCTTCGAAATTACTCAGCCTAAACACCGCCGCGGACGAGACGTCGGCGAGCATCTCGGCCTGCGCCTCCTGCAACCCCTGCCCGAGGCCGCTTTCCGGGCGCCATTCAAGCGACACTCGAACTACGCTGACCGCCAGCTGAACGCGCCCCTCACGCTCTGCCGCCTCCGTCGCCACTGCGGCACAGCGTCTCGGCCGACCGCGGCGCCCGGTAGGCCCACGCCCTTTCCCCGCCGCGGCCCCCGCGCTCACGGCGGGCGCGGCGGCCGCCGCCGCGCCGCCAAATCGCCCCTCCGCGCAAATGCCATGCGCGGGCACCAGCCACGGCGTCACCCGCGCCACGTCCCGAGCCACGGCCCAGGCCGTGGGCACTCCACACTGCTCCGCCTCGTCCGTCGAGCAAAACAAATGCGCTAAATCGCCAGCCGACTCCAGTCCCTCTCTCTGCACGAGCGCAGAAAGGGACTCGCGCTCGGAGGAATCGACCCTCAATCTAAGAACTCTTCGATGAAGAGCTCTCCGCGCTGCCCGGCCATCAAGCAGCACACAAGCAAGAAACAAACCAACAGCAACCGCTGTCGCCAACGCGCTTTGCTCGCACGATCCAATTGCGCGCTCTGATGCGCGCAGTCCCTGCGAGCGCGCGCGGGCGTCCCCTTCTGTCATGATTATGGTTCCCTGACCCGAGCCTCCCCGAGCCTAAAATCAACGCAACCGTTCTGGTGGCCTGTCCCGCATTTGGCAGGCCGCTCGAGGGATGGGGGCTGCGGGGCTTGCCCAGTGCTAGGGCAGGGCCCTGGGGGGAAACGCAGTGCCACCGCGCTTGCCCAGGTTAAATCCATGGAGGCACCCTAAGAAGTACCCAAGAAAGTACCCAGTGAGGTACCATAGGAAGTACCCGGGGAGGTACCCGAGGAGGTACCCAAAGAGGTAGCCAAGAAGGTACCCAAGGATGTACCTGAGGAAGTCCCCAATAATGTACGCGAGGAGGTGCCCAAGGATGTACTGCCCGAAGTACGGCCGAGATCTATCACTGGGATCACCGGGATCGGTTCCCTCACGACCGCTGGCAACCAAAGGTGTTTAGGGGTTCTTTCCCCCTAGCGCCAGCCACTGGTGGATAGCCTTCTGGCATGCCTCCGACTTTGAGAATGGGCCCTGCTCTTTCCCAAATACTGGATTCGGGTTTCCTGCAAGTTCGCAGGCACCAGTAGTTCCCCGACGGCCGCTTGTATCTTCAAAGATGGTTCCGGTTCCCTGAAAGCCTACAGCGAGCGTGGTAACTCTCCTCCTCCTCCTCCTCCTCCTCCTCCTCCTCCTCCTGCTCCTCCTCCTCCTCCTCCTCCTCCTCCTCCTCCTCCTCCTCCTCCTCCTCCTCCTCCTCCTCCTCCTCCCCGTCTTCTGACTGGACGGTCGGCGACGCCGACGACGAGGCCGACGGCGCGGAGCCTTCGCTCCTCCGGGCCCTTCGCGTGCACCGGGGGCTCGTAGGCGGGCGCGCCGCCGTGCTGCGACACCCGCGCGGCGGCCTCTCAGGCGACCCCCCTCCCCCGACTCCAGGAGCTCATGCAGTACAGTGTGGGTCTTGACCTGAGGAACCCTAAATAAGGAACGAGGCCCCTTTCTTCCAGACGTTAACCTTCGATTTCCCGTCAAAAACATAAGGAAAACCTAAGGCAAGCTGCGAAACAATGAAGGAACACGGAGCCCCTCCCAAACGAAAAGGGTTCCTTACTCAAGCCGCTCACTGTAGGAGCTTGACCACAAGAAACCTGCCACAAGAAACCCAGCCCCGAGAGCTCGGGGCGTCCACGGAGTTCCGGCGTGGGAGCGCCACGCCTGCCGCAGCCCAGGCATCGAAGCCCCAGAGAAACCCGGGGCACCCTGGAGGCGAGCAGAGGGTCTCTTGGCATGGATTTCCGCTGCACGCGATCCGCCACCGCGCCACCTGACACGTTGAGGCGTGGAAGCATGCCGAGTGCTGCCTGGCAGGGTTCCTGCGGCCTCCCAGGTGGGACAAACTCGCCCCTCACGTCGCGCCCCCTGGCGTGCGCCGCGCCTACTCCCGGAGGTCCCTGGGCGGCCATGGCGTCTCTCTGGGCTGGCACGGCGGCGGGACTTGCCGTGGGCAGCTGGAGACAACTAGCCTGGCGCTGGACCCAACCATCTGCGCATGCGAGCACCGCAAGACGGGTGGAAACCGAGGGAGGGGGGCTAGCAAAAGGACTAAGGACTGAGGCGCACGTCAGAAGGACGGGGCGACGTTGCTGATGGGGTCGCAAGGGGTCAGCCGCAACGGGTTA